GCCGCCTATACTATCTAATCCTGGACTTTAAAGCCAAGATTTCCAAAAGATTCCACTGAGACATTGGTATCGATTCAAGTTTGGGGGATCAACAAAGCTGGCATTGATGACCATAAAGTAGTATTTTATGAATTTGGTACTGTAGAGACTGGTGGGTACTGTAGGGCCCACATTTTTCACTACTAATAGGAACCATCTAATTCCTATGCATGAGAATTCCCAAAGGAATTCTGCTCCTCCCTAATTTAAAAAGAAACATGCAAAGACATCAGCACACCTTTACCTCACTACAGATCTGGAGGCTTTTCATCTTCCTAATTGCATCCTCAAAACTATCACGGCCTCTCCCAACCTTACATTTGAAAGAAGAGCAACATACAGTGGAAAATGAGGTACAATGAACAGGAAAGAGAAAGGGTCCTTCATGCCGGGATGTATCCTCTAACTGGGAAAAGCCACACGTTGTTTCAAGTTCTTCAACTGGATCTTTTACTCAGGGATGCCTCTAAATTTCAAAGCCCGGGCTTATTCTCCTAGAAGCGGTCATTTACCACGCTGTCGCCCACGGATGTGGAACTATAACACCCAGCGAGCAGCCCGCTTTTCTGTGCGAGAGATGGGGTCCCCTATTCTCACTCCAGGTTTAAAAATCTCCCTCCGTTAAAATGGACTAGCTCCATGCTCTGTAGACAGGACAAGATCACACGTATGTATGGCCGAGAGACCCTCCTAAACAAATGTAAGTAGGATGCATCTTTGCAGAGTTGCTTTTCATAGGTTAGACTACACAGCAACATAGACAGAACCACCCCCAGAGCACTGCTCCAGTCTTCCTCCGAGTGAACAGAAATCACTCTTTTTCCTCTCCTGCTTATGCACAGCTCACTTCTCGTTATCCAACAAAGCACACTTACTCTTAGAGATATGGCCAATTTCACTTAACTCGTATTACTTTAAATAATATGCTCAAAGCGGAATTTTTTTTTTCTGACCAAAGGGTCCCAATAAGGCAGAAGGAATAACTTTGTTCTTAGCTGCTCTTGCAAAACATAGCTAGCTGCTAAACCCCACCAAAAATGTCCTTAACACAAAGCTCAAGTATTTGTTAGAAAAATAAGAGAAAAAGAGGGAGGTGGAGTTCAGACTCCAATTAAGGCATTTTCAAGCACAGTCCAACGTAAGTCTTCCTGGAAGGGAATCCTAACAAGGCATTTCGATGGGAATAGCAAAAGTCACGATCATCTATTACCAGCACGTGGAACCATCCATCACTCACTTCGAAGGCGGTCATGCGGAGTGTCCCTCTGTTCCTTTGTTCCTTGGTTCTCTTTCTGCAAGTGCATCGGTTATGTCTTCTGCAGATCTGGGGAAAAGGGGCCGGGGGTGGAAGGTCCATCCAGGCCAGACAGAGTGAACGGCCCATGACTGTTCAGAACAGAAGGAAACTGAGAAAGAAAAGAAAACACATTATCATCCTTGGACTCAACCGAACGTTCACTTTCTGTCCCTTCTATGTTTCCTGAGCCAGAACATGACAGCCACCAGCGGTGGCTCACAGGACAAAGGCAGTAACTGTTTATGATGAAAGAATATGATGTCATGACAAAACTTTAAAGAAAAGAATGTTGCCCAGCTGGCATGGCTCAGTGGTTGAGCGTCGACCTATGAACCAGGAGGTGGCGGTTCGGTTCTGGTCAGGGCACAGGCCCGGGTTGCAGGCTTGATCCCCAGTGTGGGGCATGCAGGAGGCAGTTGATCAATGATCCTCTTTCATCATTGATGTTTCTCTCTCTCTCTCCCTTCCTCTCTGAAATCAATAATAATTAAAAATAAATAAAAAGAAAAGAATGTTCAATATTAATACTCTCCAGCTTGCCCTGATGGAATGCAAAGCACAAACCTACACCTTTCCTCATATCCTAAGGTGCACAGGAGTGCATTTACCTTCAGTTGAAGGTTTTAGAAAGGTCGGTAAATAACCCTACAGAGTATATTCACTTACAAAGCAAATCGCAGACTGTCAAAGAGAGGTCCAGAAAGAGACACCCACCGGTTAACTCTATTTGTAACTGGTGCAAATAGCTATAGGGTGCTCATCGCAGAAAAGGGTTCCCCATCATACGTTCTGAGGCCAATTCTAGAGGGAGATTCTAGGCCAAAGCTACCCGAGCATGACTTTGCTTAAGATCCCTCTATAACGCAATCACCGGTTTTCGAGAGGCAAAGAAAAATGAAACAAGGAAGATTCTCAACATACGTTCTGAGGCCAATTCTAGAGGGAGATTCTAGGCCGAAGCTACCTGAGCATGACTTTGGTTAAGGTCTCAGATCCCTCTGTTACGCAATCACCAGTTTGTGAGAAGCAAAGAAAAATGAAACAAGGAAGATTCTCAACGTTTTCTACTCAATAATTTAGAACTTTTTGTCAAAAAATCCAGAAGTAGGAGTGTTTTTAACTTATTTTCTTCTTTAACATTTCATTTTCAAAAGAACTAGTGAAGAGTTAGATCACAGAAACATAAGACAATCCTCCAGGGAGTGCCCCAATAGTAAATGAATCAACCGTAAGAAAGCCTACCAGTTATAAGGTCTAGATGTTCTGGGCAAAATAACCATTAAAAGCTGTGAGACGTTTCCTAAGATCCTGCTTAAGAGATAATACAATAGTCATTTGAAAACATGTATTTAAAATGTTGATAAATATATATTCTGAGGGGGAAATGGAGTATTTAATATACTATTCTCAAGAGTTTCCTCGATTTCTTTCATCCTCAGTTAAAAGGGGAAACATATGTCCAGAAACCCCCTCCACATATGTATATGTGTGTGTGTATGAATATATATGTGCATACATATTTTTCCTAATAAAAGAGGATTTCTACAGTTTAAAAATGACAAAAAACTGGGTGGTCTCAAAATCTACTCCAGTGTTGAACAGTTCTTGGTCTAACTCCAGTGCATGTAAATGGTCAACGATGAAAAGGAAACTTTCCTGTGAATATTTATCTGAACTGTTTGCTGGCTAGGAAATGAACACTTAGAAATTCAAAACCAAAACTAAAGAGGACTTCTTAAATAGAAGTTTTATAACGCTTCAACCGAAGAGGGGGGTCCTGTGTGTCTGCCTCTCTCTTCATTTACCATGGCCCCTGACGAGAGACGGGCTTCCCGCCATTTACCTGGAAAAGCGTGTTAGCACCTTGCAGTCTGGCCGGGCTGAGGGGAGCGACGGGGCTGAGGGTGCTCCAGAAGTGGATGCTGGAGAGCAAGGGGCTGGGAGTCAGTAAGATGGGCGTCTGCAAACACACAAAGCACAGCGTTCACTGAGGGGCACGTCAGGGTTCTGCTCCATCCTGGTAACAATACAACAATAGCCCTGAACCCAAATACTGTCCTATTCGCCATAAATCTCTCCGAGTCTGAAATTTCATCACGGGGAAACACTCAGAAATTATTTTTTACAACTTAAGAAAGATAAAGGTCAAAATATTTTCTAACCTATCTTTTGTAGGGTCTTTCTCAAACAGAAAAACCGATCTGAATTCAGGGATGGAAAAATAACGGGTCACTGAGTCACACACGTAGTTTTTCCTCAATAATGAGAAGGTCTGTGAGTGAGCCATCCATTTAAATGTTACACTTAAGCAAGTTGAGATTATCCCTGTTTGTTTGTTTTTAATAAGATTTATATGAGAGAGAGAGAGAGAGAGAGAGGAGAGAGAGAAAATATGCTTATTTTCTATAGAAGGAAGTGGAAAACCAAAATATTTCTTTAGTTGTAGAACAATGAATTATTGAACACAGTGCTCCAAACCTTCTGTGTTGGCGATCCTAACTGAGCTAAGGGACTGGGGGTTACTTTCATGGGGTCATTTAAAAACCTATGAACACAGAATGAACACTTGAGGTGATAAATCTGGATTTGTTCGGGAAGGCGAGTACATGCAAACAACGGTGGCTCTAGAGAGAAAGAAAGCGCTAGCTACCTGTGAGAACAGTGCTGGCGTGAGAGACGCTGTGGGGAGCGAGGGGCTCAGGATCCCCAGGGGGCTGGGGTCGCTGCCCGTGATCAGGAGGATGGGGGCCAGCTCCAGCCCCTTGGGCTTCTTCGATCTGGATGAGCCGTTGGCTTTGTCCTTCCCCGGCAAGGCCGAGTCCTGGTCCTTGGGCTCCAGTGCCAAGCTCTCTGGCAGCCCCACAGAGTCGATGTCCGTGTCGATGTCCGGGTTGGAGCTGAGCGGCGGGGAGGGTGTCCTGGGCGGCTCCTGGAAGGAAGGGGACGGGACAGGGGTGCTGGGAAACGCGGCGGCGACACTGCAGGCCGAGGCCGGGGCTTCCAGGGAAGGCAGCTTGGGGGAAGCCAGCGTCTCCAGCGCTTGGAGAGTGTCTTCCGAAGACGGGGAGATACTGTCGCCGGTTGAACCGGTGGCAGCCACAGGTTCCACCGGTGGCTTTTTGGAAGGCGTGGTTACAAACTTAATGACGGATGGTGCCGGCTCCTGAGGTTTCTTCTCTGCCAGTTTCTCAGCCGGATTCTCAATCTTTATAGACTTAAGGAGCTTCCTCTTGGAGGAGTTCAGAGAGTTGAGGGTGAACGAAGAGTACAAGCCGGAGTGTATGTAGTCGTTGCGGCTCGAGGCCTTGGCACCGGGCTGCGGGGGCCGCTCCTTCCCTCCGCTCTCCGCGTCTCTGGAGCCGCCGCCGCCCTCACCGCCGCTCAGGGCCTCACAGTCTCCCTCAACCCTGCCCACCTTCATCGGATCCATGCTCAGAATCTCCGGGTAAGAGACGAACTTGTACACAAACTTCTGACCGTTCACTTTTTTTATGATATTCTGTAGGTAAATAAAACAAGTGTTCTTATACTTTCTTATAGTCTCATCTCGAGTAGCTCCTGTAAAAACTGACCTAACGGTGTCCTGTGTGACAAGCAGCTTACTTCAAGCTTCCAATTCATCTAACACCGTGGTCGGCAAACTGCGGCTCTCGAGCCACACGTGGCTCTTTGGCCCCTTGAGTGTGGCTCTTCCTAAGCTTTAGGAGTACCCTAATTAAGTTAATAACAATGTACCTACCTATATAGTTTAAGTTTAAAAAATTTGGCTCTCAAAAGAAATTTCAATCGTCGTACTGTTGATTAATGAGTTTGCCGACCACTGATCTAACATCACCTTAAGTCATCCAGGCATACTCAACACAGTGCCTGCTGTTGTGGAGCATAAGTTAAGAACATTTACATGTTGTATTAACAACTGAACTGATACATTACGTAAAAGCTGAAAGATTCTGATTGCTCAACACTCTCAACCAATTATCTGTGTCGTCAAAAATCGCTGACCTACACACAATCTAAAATAAGTCCAAAGGTACAAGCCATCCACATGCTGAGTAAGCAAAAAGGAATTGAAAACATCACTTCTACTAAGGTTCCCACTTCCTTCAAAAATTCCAGTTGTTGCTTTTATGTGTGTCTCAGATAGCAAAGCAGATTAAGACCAACCACTTGAAGGTGAAAGAAATTAAGATCTCAGCTTCTCATTCCAGTTCTATCCATCTGAGCCATTTATTTTACTGCAGGGCCCAAAGTGTATTCAAAATGAGAAATTTAAAAATTTTAACTAAGAAATCAATTCTGTGGGTAAACAGGCATGCGTTGTGTTCTCTGGATTAAATTGAAAAGTAAAAACTAAGCAAAGCTAGGAAACAAGTATCTATGACAATTTTAAAAGTAAATCATGATATACACAATAATATTTGTCCTCAAGAATCTGAGACTTCCTTTTCCTTATTTCAACCCTATCCTTACTTTTCCTTTAAAGACAACTGTTGGGAAGAAGATAGGTGCCGTGGGGGTGGGGCACTGAATAACAGTTTGCAGAAAGCAACTGGAACATTTCCAGCCTCCGTCCTAATTCCAAACTGCTCAAGTTATAAAATAAATGGGATTAAAATAAACCGGGACAGTGATCATTTCGCAATGGAAACAAGTATCAAATCATTATGTTGTAAACCTGAAACTAACATATTTCAATTATATCTCAACTAGAGGCCTGGTGCACGAAATTCATGCACAGGTGGGGTCCCTAGGCCTGGCCAGCCATCAGGGCCCATCAAGTTCCCCACCTCCCCGCCGCCTCCTTCCCTCGCCACCTCCTTCCCTCGCCACCCACGCACCACCACCGCATGGTTCCCCCTCCCCCCACCCCATCCTTCCTTTGCCACTCACATCTGCCACCGCCCACCCCCGGTTCCACATCCCAGCCCGAGGGCCCAGCCTCGATCAGGCAATCGGGGCCTGCCGACCGGGGGCAGGGACCAGGAGGTTGGCTGGTAGGCCCCATCAGCGATTGGGGCCTGTGGGCTGGGGGCAGCTCCTGCATTGAGCATCTGCCCCCTGGTGGTCAATGTGCGTCATAGCGACCGGTCACCCCGTCGTAACAGTCGCTTAGGCTTTTATAGAGAGAGATTTTAAAAATTAAATAAATAAAGCAGCATCTTAGTACCTATACCCTGAACAGAAGAGAAGGGACGCTTCTTGTTTTCGGGCGGACGGGCATTACCTTCACATAATAGTATCTGAGGGCTCGGCTGAGCTTGTCGTAGTTCATGTTAGGCTTGTTCTTGCGAATCCCCCAGAGCCGAGCCACCTCCTCCGCCTGCAGAAGCTTGAACTCCCCGTTGTTGGAGGTCCAGCAGATCATGTGCTTGTTCTGCGGCTCCTGCAGGAGCTGAAGGAGGAACTGCCACAGGGTGATAGCACTGTCCATAGCCATGAGCTGGAGGAGGCACAGGGAGAAACAGGCACATTAACGGCCAACGCTCCCACAGCACCGTGCGTCAGGCCCTGCTTCACGTGCTCCAAATATAGTACTTCTTCTCATCCCCACAACAGACACGATTGCAGCCTTATTTTATTTATGAAAAAACTGATTCATAAATAGCTGCAGCGATCCTGAGAAAGAAGAACAGAGTACGAGGGATCTCAATACCAGGTCTCAAGCTGTATTACAAAGCCACCGTTCTCAAAACTGCCTGCTACTGGCACAAGAACAGACATATAGACCAATGGAATAGAATAGAGAACCCAGAAATCGACCCGAACCACTATGCTCAATTAATATTTGATAAAGGAGGCAAGAACATACAATGGAGTCAAGACAGTCTCTTCAATAAATGGTGTTGGGAAAATTGGTCAGATACATGCAAAAAAATGAAACAAGACCACCAACTTACACCATACACAAAAATAAACTCAAAATGAATAAAGGACTTAAATGTAAGATGGAAAACCATAAAAATCTTAGAGGAATCCACAGGCAGCAAAATCTCAGACATATACCGAAGCAATATCTTCACTGGTACAGCTAGGGTGATGGGAACTGAAGAGAAAATAAACCAAAGGGACTACATCAAAATAAAAAGCTTCTGCACAGCAAAAGAAACCATCAACAAAGCAACAAGAAAGTCCACTGCATGGGAGAACATATTTGCCAATGTTATCTCCGATAAGGGTTTAATCTCCAACATTTACAGGGAACTCATACAACTTAACGAAAGGAAGATAAACAACCCAATCAAAAAATGGGCAACGGACCTAAATAGATACTTTTCAAAAGAGGACATAGGAAGGCCAAGAGACATATGAAAACATGCTCAAAGTCACTAATCATCCGAGAGATGCAAATCAAAACGACAATGAGGTACCATCTCACACCTGTCAGAATGGCTATCATCAACAAATTAACAAACGACAAGTGCTGGCGAGGATGTGGAGAAAAAGGAACCCTCGTGCACTGCTGGTGGGAATGCAGACTGGTGCAGCCACTGTGGAGAAGAGTGTGGAGTTTCCTCACAAAACTAAAAATGGAACTTCCATTTGACCCAGTGATCCCACTTCTAGGACTACAGACGAGTGGATTAAAAAACTGTGGTACAGCCCTAACCAGTTTGGCTCAGTGGATAGAGCGTCGGCCTGTGGACTGAAAGGTCCCAGGTTCAATTCCGGTCAAGGGCATGTACCTTGGTTGCGGGCACATTTCCAGTAGGAGGTGTGTAGGAGGCAGCTGACCGATGTTTCTCTCTCATCGATGTTTCTAACTCTCTATCCCTCTCCCTTCCTCTCTGTAAAAAAATCAATAAAATATATTTTTTAAAAAACTGTGGTACATCACAATGGAATACTATGCTGCGGTAAATAGGAAAGAACTCCTACCATTTGCAACAGCATGGATGGACCTGGAGAGCATTATGCTAAGCGAAATAAGCCAGTCTGAGAAAGATAACTATCACATGATCTCACTCATTTGTGGAATACAATGAACAACACAAACTGATGAACAAAAACAGATTCAGAGACAGAGAAGCATCGATCAGATGGTCAATCTCAGAGGGAAAGTAGGGGAGGGTGGGGTTAAGGGGGCGAGATCAACCAAAGGACTTGTATGTATGCATATAGGCCTAACCAATGGACGCAGACACCAGGGGGGTGAGGGCATGAGTGGGGGGGGCATGTAATGGGGGGATAAGGACACATATATAATACCTTAATCAATAAAGGAAGAAAAAAAACTGATTCATAAAAGAGCTAAATAATTTGTCTAAGGTCACACAAGCGAATGATGGGAGCGGAGACTTAAACCTCGGCAGTCGCATCCAGTCTAAACGCTCAGTCATGCCACGCTGCTGAAGGGAAGTCTTGCTTGGGAGACAAAGCCAGTTCCATGAATTATAGGAGCAGCCTGATGCCTGCCAATCACTAGAGAATCACTGTTATTAAATTTATCTTATAAGCGCATGGTCGCATTCTCTGAGGAGACCACCATTTCGGCATCTATCTTAATCAGCCCAGTTGATTTATTTGCCAGGATGTGTATGTGTGTGTCTCAGTGTGGCCCGGGGGTATAGAATAATCTACTTCTGTTCCACTGGTATTTCCCCTTCAAATTGTTTCCATTATCGTAACTATAATTTACATATAAATTGGCAGCACTGAAAATTGGGCAGAATGTTCCCTGATTTAACCTGCAAATTCTGTCACCATCTATCTGCCCACAGGGATTTCCTCCGCACAGATCCGCCATTTATTTATGAATCGTTTTTTGATTTCTAGAGAGAGAGGAAGGGAGAGGGAGAGACAAAAACATCCACGTAAGAGAGAAACATCAATTGGCTGCCTCTGTACGCCCCCTACTGGGGATCGAACCCACAACCTCCAGGCACGTGCCCTGATCGGGAATCCAACAGCAACCTTTCCTTGCACGGAACCATGCCCAACCAACCCAGCCACACTGGCCGGGGCAATCCACCTTTAATTGGATTAGCAGCCTTTATCTGATTATCAAGACATGAGCTGAAAAATCCTTCAAAATCCCAAATTTTGGGACCTCCCTAGTTAGGCCAGAGTTTCCCAACTACTGACATTTTGGGCCAGATAATTCTTTGTTCCTGGAAGCTGTTCTGTGCATTGTTTAACAGCATCCCTGTCCTCTGCCCACCAGGTGCCTTGTAGCACCTCCCGCCCAACTGGGACAATCAAAGATGCCCCCAGACACTGCCAAATGTTCTCCTGGGGTAGAGAGTCATCCAGGAGAGAACCACTGGTTTAGGCAATGGAGCAGCAAGGAAACGCTTGCACCAAATTATTTTTCTCATAAAACTTCAAAACACCTTGTTGAAAGGGAAGAATTCTTTAGGGCGAAAACTCTGGCCAAATACATATAAGCACATCTAAGAAGCCTATGACTGAACTATACCAACACAAAAACAAAAACTTCCTTTTTTTAAATCTAGAAATGAGATCTCAATGAATCAGAATAGGACTTGAAAACAATTCAATCAAGCCATTAAAATACTACAGAAAACTCAAAACTCAAAACTTCTGTGCTGCACAGTAAAGAGAAGACTCTCTTACCCTTGGAGACAGCATGGAGGGACCTGGAGAGTGTCATGCTAAGTGAACTAAGTCCGTGACAGAAAGACAAGTATCACATGATCGCACTCATATGTGGAATCTAAGTAACAAAATAAACTGATGAACGGAGTGGATGCAGGGACAAGGAAGCATGGAACAGAGTGCGGAATCTCAGAGGAAAGGCAGGGGAGGACCTTGTATGCATAATGCATGGCCCATGGACACAGATGAGGCCATGCATGTATGGGGCGGTGAGGGCCTGGGGCGGGCTGGAGGGGGGTCAATGGGAGAAAAAAAAGGAGACATATGTAATACTTACAACAATAAAGAATTATTTAAAGTAATAATAATAAAAATGAAACTTCTGTGCTACAAACAATATCATCAAGAAGACAATCTGTAGAATGGGGAAAATACTTTCAAATCATAGGGACCTATATAAAAAAATTATAAAGAACTCTTACAATTAAAGAAAAAAACAGAAAAATAGGCAAAGGATTTGAAAAGACATTTCCCCAAAGATATACAAATGACCAACATGCACATGAAAAGATGCTCAACATCATTAGTTATTAGGGGAATGAAAATGAAAACCATCTTAGATACCACTTCACACTTAGTAGGATAGCTGTAATTAAACAGACAGTGACAAGTGTTAGCGAGGATGTGGAGAAAGGGAAACCCTCATACATTACAGATGGGAATGTAAAATGGTATAGTCACAGGGAAGACAGTTTTGATGGTTTCTTAAAAATGCTAGATACAGAGTTACCTCAGGACCCAGCAATTCCACCCTTAGCTCCAGACCCAAGAAAAACGAAAATTTATGTCTACACAGACACTTGCACAGGAATGTTCACAACAGCATTACTCATAATATCCAAAAAGCAGAAACAGCCCAGATGTCCATCAACTGATAATTGTATAAACCAGTGGTTCTCAACCTTCTGGCCCTTTAAATACAGTTCCTCATGTTGTGACCCAACCATGAAATTATTTTCGTTGCTACTTCATAACTGTAATGTTGCTACTGTTATGAATCATAATGTAAATATCTGATATGCAGGATGGTCTTAGGCGACCCCTGTGAAAGGGTCGTTCGACCGCCAAAGGGGTTGGCGACCCACAGGTTGAGAACCGCTGGTATAAACAAAATGTAATACAATCATACAGTAGGATATTATCCAGCCAGAAAACAGAATGAAGTACTGGTACATGCTACAACATGGACGAACCTTGAAAACATTATGCTAAATGAAAGAAGCCAGACACAAAAGGACAGGTACTGTGTAATTCCATTTATATAAAATGTCCAGAATAGGCAAATCTATTAGACATAGAAAGTAGATCAATTGCTGAGGGATGGAGGATGGTTGGGAAGAAGAGTGGAGAGTGACTACTAATGGAGTGATTTAAATTTCCTAACTTAGATTGTAGTGGTGGTCACACAACTCTGTGAATAAACTAAAAGCATTTAATTTTACATTTTAAGTAGGTGAATTTTATGGTACGTGAATTATATCTCAACAAAGATGTTAAAAACAAACTAATACTATAAACATTACAAAAGTTAGGCCTGAGAAGCTCAATCCAATCCTATATAATAAAAGCCTAATATGCTAAGTGTCCGGTTGTCTGTTCAACCAATCAAAGCATAATATGCTAATGATATGCTAAGGCCGCTCAACCGCTCGCCATGACGTGCACTGACCACCAGGGGGCAGAGAGTCGACCGGCTGAACAGTCGCTATGACATGCACTAACCACCAGGAGGCAGACAGTTGACCAGTTGCTATGATGTGCACTGACCACCAAGGGGCAGATGCTCCGACTGGTAGGTTAGCTTGCTGCTGAGGTCCTGCTGATTGGGACTGAGGGAGACGGGCCAGACAGGCCCTGGAGCCCTCCCACGGTCCCTCCCTGGCTGGCCAACCTCCCGTGTCCCTCCCCAGCCCCGACTGTGCAACAGTG